TCTCGCGCCGTCGCCTCTCCCGCGTGTCGTCCAGCGAGCACCGAGAGCCCCGCCACGACCCGCCGGAGTCGCTCACTTCCTCGTCGTCGAGGTCGTCGAGGTCGTGGTCGTCGTCCGTCAGGTGGTGGGTCGTGATCTCCTCGACGTGCTCCTCGATCTGGGGGAGGCAGTGATAGGTACTTGTGAGGCAACGTTTTCTGCTTATCAAAGAGGGAAATATCCTATATGCCAATATAGATTTATATAAATGGAATTGAGATGAAAATGTAGTTTATCATTTTATTAGGGTTAGTGAGAAATTAACTGATGTGAAATTGAGGTTTCAGATAACGGTCTATCAACCATCAGCGGTGTAAAAGACGTGTGGTGAAGCAAAAACTTATATCTCATCATAATATATATATAGAAAAAAACATATCCATCAACCAAACCAGCATCTAAAATCAAATCTGAATATCCGAAACCGACAGCAAGCTATCCACTATCCACCCACCGCTACCCAGACTTCCAGACCAGCCAAAAACTAAAGCTCTGAACTACCGCTTACCTTAAACTGCAAGGGCGGCCCGTCCCCGGCTGCTGCTTGGGCCCAGGAGTCGTCCGTGACCACGCCCTGATCCGGACTGACGGTGGGGGGGCGCCGCGACGACCTCCGAGGGGGGGTAAGCGACCTCTCCTCGCTGCCCTCTGACCCGCCCTCACTCAGCTCTCCTCTCTTGAGCCGCCCTCTTCGGCTCTCCTTCGCCCCGCCTGCAGAGAGAAGGCGAGGGTGAGGGAAGGGTTTGGGGTGGGGGGTCTACGTTGTATCTGAGCTTTTATTGATTAAATATGCATGCAATCGTATACATAGACAGAATCGCAAGCGATGATGTACGTCTAGTCACATACTATGACACGAAAACACGCAAATAAATATGTAAACGTACGCAAACAAACACACACACACACACACACACACACACACACACACACACACACACACACACACACACACACACACACACACACACACACACACACACACACAGAAACAAACAATTAAATGCATACGACTTACCTGACATGCCGCTGTCCGTGTCTGTGCTGGTGACCTCATGGCTGACTTCTATGGTGACCTCGTCTGGCCTCTCACCTTCACATGATTCAAGCACCTGTTGTTATGGAGAAAATACACTATATTCACCTACAAATTAACATGGGGAAAATACACTATATTCACCTACAAATTAACATGGGGGAAAATACACTACATTCACCTACACATTAACAAACTGAATGAATATAGAAATGAAAACTTGTATTCCAATGTTCCTCCCTTTTTACGATAAACAATAAACATAAACAAAGAGCATAATGCCCACCTCGCCTTGTGGTAAATGGAGATAACCCTATAATGCAATATAACAAACGTCTAAGATCCCAATCGCTCAGTCTTTGTCTGACATTTAAGTTATGGCCAGAGATATTCAGCTTGCCCACACCTAGTCATTTAGCATGGGTGGTAATTAACAAATCAATACGACACTACCAAGGTAATCCAGAATGAGGATCAAAACTACAGAACTATAGAATCATGTATAAGTTTGTGTCACTGTGTGTGTGTGTGTGTGTGTGTGTGTGTGTGTGTGTGTGTGTGTGTGTGTGTGTGTGTGTGTGTGTGTGTGTGTGTGTGTGTGTGTGTGTGTGTGTGTGTGTGTGTGAAACGAAACAGTGTTGCATTGCGCAATGCAGGTCAAAGCTAGATGTGCCGAGAGACTGGAAATCACTCCTTTGCATTATCAATGGTGTTCTTGCAATAACAAAGGCTACAGAAAAGCAAATATTAAAACAAGGAAATACTTACAATATAACCAGACAAGAAATAACGTGTAAACAGTTAGAAAACATTACATAAAATCACAAGCCTTTCACTCCTAATAATTTCATAAAGTCACAGTTAACTGCCTATGCAGAATTTTCAATGTGTGCTGTAGCTGAAAAATATATACTGTGTGTGTTCTCTTAATAAATATTTCGACTTTAAATCAGAGTCAGAAAATGAAATAGTAAAGGGAGTAACCTTAAACATCATAATAAACGTCCAAAATAATGTCGCTTCGAGAATACAATGAAATACAGCCACGAAAAAGGAATTTCGAACCAGTCATCATCAAAATCGGGGGAAAATCATTGGAACTGCACTAATTGCCTTTTTCTCCTTGACTGATTGCAGCTCATGAATTGGACCAGAAAAAAAAATCCGCCATGAATCGTTATCTGAAATGGCATCTGTTGCAGTGACTGAAATCTACGGGATGTCACTGCCACATAAAGCCGAATGCTGGATGTCCAAAAAAACTGAGGTTAAAAACTAATTTCCTATATAATACACATGTGTGTGTGTGTGTGTGTGTGTGTGTGTGTGTGTGTGTGTGTGTGTGTGTTGTGTGTTGTGTGTGTGTGTGTGTGTGTGTGTGTGTGTGTGTGTGGTGTGTGTGTGTGTGTGTGTGTGTGTGTGCGTGTGCGTGTGTGTATTGCGTGTGCGTGTACGTGTGTGCGTGCGTGTGCACATAAAGTGATAACCCTTCCAATTAGTCTCGAAAGAAAACGTGACTGTTAGCTTCCCTCTCTACGCTCACCTCTTCTTTCTAAATCTAATTTCTTAGACCGTCTTCTAATTCAAGATCTTTGATATGGAACACCATATTCTTTAGAGCACTTCGTGAAATTCCTTTTTTAACTCCAGCTTTGTATTTTGGTACTTACAGGCTCTTGTAATAAGGATCAATACGGCTTGCTTCGATTTCTCGGAATGCACTAATTGCAGTTTCCCAATTAAAAGTTTTTCTCCGTTCGCATTGTTACGCTTCCATTGTCTTCTTATTCCGTTTCTCTTCTCTTCATTTCTTGTTCTTCCTCTCTTCCATCTGTCAGTTCATTATATGCTTTCTATTTTTCTTTCTATCTTTCTATCTCAGTTTTAGGTTTATTTCTTACGTAAGGGTTAGTATCATTTATGAAATATATGCAGGTTTTATCTTATTTGCATATTTCACCTTGTATTTTCCTTGAGTTCATTTAAAATCATAGCAAGTGTTAATTAGGGCCTATTTATCATTTTCTTACACATTTCACTTCCTATGCTCTGTAAGACTATTTTGAATCACCATAGATCTAAGTACCTGTCACTCTCAATATCTATAGTTTATTTTACAATAGAATAACTATGATCCAAGTATGATACCTCATTTTTCACGCCACGTATTTTCTCATGTGCTATAAAACGTACTTGCATAATTATTAGTGCACTATCACGCGATTCCCACTGTACATGCATAACCCTTTATTTCATACATTTTCAAAAACATGTTCACAAATAATCCGTATATCAATCTTATCAAAGTAGCTCGCTTCTCCTTGACATGCAATAATTAAGATCACAGAGTAATCACCAACATCAAATTGCAACCGCCGTATCACGTAGTCTTCGCAATCACGACCAGGTGAGATATAGTAGTAGTGTAGTAAATATGATTTTATGAATGAGGGACAGAGAGATTGCTTGGCCCGTCCGAGAGCGCCAGACAGGGACCACCTTCTCTCTGTCGCCTCTTCCCATTCACTGCCGCCCCCGACACACACCTCCTGGCGCCTCCTCACATATCACTCATTACTCACGCCGGCACAGGTGAGTCATCGAGCTTAATTAAGGGCTAATTAACTAATGATTATCTGCGTTTCGGTGTGAAGGTTCCTAGTTTCTTTTTACGAACTTCAAAGAGAGTGCAATGGCATTCGACGGTGCTCTGATCGACCTGTCATAGCCCGTGCGATGCTTCCTGTGAGACACTGGTGTGGCTTCGCACCTTCCTGGCCACGCGTGAACGACCCTATGTCCCTCTGGTTGAAAGGTCATAATGGCTTGCCCCAACATGATTTACGTACGATGATGATGTCGACGGTCGTAACTTTTTTTCTCTCTCTTCGGGGAAAGTGGATAAGTCTATTTCAAAGAATTAAAATTCCTGGTTTGCTACCTTTGGAACACACCCTTCTATCACTCTCTCATGATCTATTCACAATAGACGGGGGAGAGGGGGGGTGAGCCTCAAACAAAAACAAAAAGAAACATGACCTTAACGTTTATTTTCCTTCCCTTAAGAGACGGACTCACAGAAGGTCAGCTCGGTAAGTCTCTGAATGAGATTGCCTGTCTACCTTGTATCCAATTATAACCTCGTTTACTTACAGCATATTCATGACATAAGAAACTGGACGACTCTGTGGGTTCAGCTAATTCTGTGGCCAGAGATGACCACCACTGTGCAAATGTTTATGTACATATGCAATGTGTGTATGTATATCTATATCTATACCATTATATAATATTATATATATGTATATGTATATGTATATGTGTGTGTGTGTGTGTGTGTGTGTGTGTGTGTGTGTGTGTGTGTGTGTGTGTGTGTGGTGTGTGTGTGCGTGTGTTGTATACACCACATACATACACACACATATACACATATATATGTACATATATATATATATATATATATATATATATATATATATAGTTATTTATATAGAGAGAGAGAGAGAGAGAGAGAGAGAGAGAGAGAGAGAGAGAGAGAGGAGAGAGAGGGAGAGAGAGAGATGAGAGATGAGAGAGAGGAGAGAGAGGGAGAGAGAGAGAGAGAGAGAGAGAGAGAGAGAGAGAGAGAGAGAGAGAGAGAGAGAGAGAGAGAGAGAGAGAGAGAGAGAGAGAGAGAGAGAGAGAGAGAGAGAGAGAGAGAGAGAGAATAAAATACACCAGGAGCTTAGATGTTTAAGCCCCTAAATGCATGTGCAACAAATAAAATACACATAAGATGTCCCTCCCACGATAAGCAAGTCAATCAACATCATTACACTTACCTTATTGAGGATAGCCGTTGCTAAGATGTCCTCATACGTGTGAGAGTTGAAATCCTCCACCGGCGTTTCAGGTGAGGCTGCCGGGTCGTAAGCCTCATTCTGGA